ACTATTATGACCAAGTATAGATCGCCACATTATGACCAAGTATAGATCGCCAGTCGCCACATTTTGATGAAAACATCCATCTAGACAATCTAGACAGGAATCGGCCGACTAAAATCGTCGTGTGTGCGCCTAGCTTTATGAAATAAACAAGATTGGATTTTTATATTTACACAAAAAAGGATTATGCATCAAACAACGAAAAGGTATGTACATAAATCTTATAGGTAGTTCAAAGGACCCTGTCTACAATTTAACTGGCTTTAATAATGATTGATTGATTGAATTTAATAATCGTAATTTGCAGTTAGTAAAAACTGAATTATATACGATGTACATAAAAGACACCTAAAAGTATATACATGCATAAGTTTAACTAAATCTAATCTATAATTATCTTACAATTATAACAAATTAGGCTATTGTTCGAGACTGTTAGCGATTATGAAGGAGTTCTTATACCGATCAGTTCGAATTCGATGTAGAGAGAATTTTCTACATCGTCTTAGGGAATATTTACAAATTTTTTCCTGAGGAACTAACGAATTTAATTTATAATCTCTATCTTGGGCTTGTTCAAAGAGTTTGTGACACGCAGCAGATCTTTGATCAAACAATGAATCCAACTTCGAAATGTTAATAGCGTCATCATAACCGTGGTCCGGATATACTCTTCTCAAAAACCGTTTTTGTACCCTCTCAATCTCGTTGCTTAGGTACACCGGCAACGAGTTGTGAAAAACAGGTGACGCGTATTCCAAAATCGACCGTATACATGCACAATATATCATTATTATGTCTTCGATAGGGACATTTGCTCGTTTAAGTTGTGTTATCAGATAAAATCTCTTGGTAGCTTTCGACACAATTTGCTCCACATGTGCTCTCCACTTTAGATCACTGCTGACTGTAAGTCCAAGGATCTTAGCATGGTTCACTATTTCGAGTTCTTTTCCATTGACCAGTAATGGGGCTAGCGTGTTGCCATGATTATTATTCCTAGAAAAATCAATTCTGAGTTCTTTACTTTTATCTTCGTTTAGTTCAGCTAGGTTGGTTATAGTCCAATTTTGAACATCATCAACATCTAACTGGATTGTACTGCGTTGAACTTTTTTCAGTATTTCCGAAATAGTTGTGTCATCGACAAATTTCCCAGGATCGCTATGTGACGTTGTCAGGTCATTTATCATTAGTACATATAACCAGGGACCAAGCTTGGTACCCTGGGGTACACCCGCGCGAATCTCACTCCATTGCGAAAAGCAATTGTTCCTCAATTTTACCCGCTGCATACGGCCAGTAAGGAAATCCAAGATCCAATTTATTGTAGAAGGGGGGAGGTTAAGTTGTCTGATTTTAACAGAGAGTCGTTTATGGTCTATCAGATCAAATGCCTTTCTAAAATCGAATAGAACTGTACGGACTAAATTTCCAGGTTGATCAGTGGCCTGTGCCCAGCGGTGTATCATAGATATTAAAGCCATTGTGGTAGAGGATTTCGGTACTACTCCAAATTGGTTTTTGTCGATGATTTTCAAAATGGCCGGTCTAACTTGCCTCTCAAGGACAAACTCCTCTACCACCTTCGACATTATTGGCGTTAGCGATATCGGACGAAGGTGTTTTTTTACATTTGTAATTTGACATGCCTTAGGAATGGCGGTGATGTTTGACTGTTTCCAACCAAGAGGTAATGTTTCTTGTTGAAATGAGTTGTTAATAATTAGGCTAATTGGGAAGGCCAGTATTTCTGCAAATTCTCTGAGTAACTAAGGTTGAAGTCCATCCGGGCCAGGGGATTTACTTGCGTTAAGGGATTTCAATTTCATAAATGCATCAATTTCTTGTACTTCTAATACATCACAGCCAGATGCTGGCCTTGCGTACTGGATTTTATCAGACTCATCAAGTGGCACATATGATTGCTGTGGGTCCAAAAAGGAATCGTTAATAAAGTTTGCAATTTCATCATGAGAAGAATCATTAATATTCATGTTTTCAAGAGCAAGGATGGATAGTAAATCTTCATTGTCAGACATTGGGGTGTGGCCACTAATGCGTTTAAATTCGTACCACCATCGTTTTAGCTTGCTGTCCTTTAAAAGACGTATTATAGAATTATAATAAGTTTGCCTGCACGGCTTGCGATGGCTATTGACGCGGTTATGATAGAACTTGAAGAGCATTTGATTGCCTTGTGCCCAGGCTGCTTGGCGTTTAACAATGAGCTCTTTCAGATAAGTTGTCATCCATGGAACGTCGTTTCGATGAATAACTCGTGTTTTCTCGGGCATAATATTATTAAGTCCAACCTGAATCAAATCATTAAATATGGCAGCTTAGATTTCGACTGAATCGACTGATAAACTGGACCAATCGACGCCCGAGAGAAAACGGCCAAGTTGTTCTTTTTTACTTGGCCTTCGATCACGTACTAAAACTTTAATGCGTTCTGACTTAGTTTTGATTCTTTCTTTCGGGAAAATTGTAATTGTGCAGTGATCCGAGAGTCGAAACGGCGAAAGACAATTTGCATCTTTATGAAAGGAATGCAAATTTGTAAGGATTTTGTCTAGGGTGTTATTTCCTCGAGTTGGAAATTTAATGAGCTGTTTAAACTTGAACTGTCGTGCAATAGGCGAAGTGTTAAATTGATTAAAATCGCCTGTCAATATGATTCCACAGTTGGGAAAGTTTCCTTCAAGGGTAGTCAGACATTCTGAAAGGTACTCTGACAGGATTGAGTTATTAGAATTAGGAGGGTGATAAATTATTCCGACAATGATGCATGAAATTGACCGCGGGAGACGTCTTCGTCGTATTTTAATCCAAATTACTTCTAAATTTGGAGATTGCAGTTCGACTAAATGATTAAAATGAATATTTTGGTGAACAAAGACAGAAACTCCACCATTTGAACCACTTTCTCGGTCTTTGCGTACTACATAATATAATAATTAATATATTTGCATGTGTATCTACATAAATAATGTGCAAATATATGTCACATGCGTTGCCATTTGCCTTTGCATTCCGAGCCTATTGGCTTTCTACTTTTAATACTTATGTGCTAAAGCTTGGAATTGCGAATTATCTGACAATATTCTTTAAACTTTAACGTTGGACTATGTTTTATATACATAATCATTTATAAACACAATCTCATAATTTATAATTGTACATGTAAAATACAAAAAAATGGTAGCATACAGGTGAAAATATTTGAAAGTTTCTCATTTGGCTTAGGGTTGTACAAATACTTTCGTTAACTATGATTCAGCTACAACTTTGAACAAAAAAAAACAGGGCTACACAATAGCCCTGAAAATCGTAATGAGCGTGATAACTCTGGATAACTCTAACATTGACCTTATCATGATGCTAATAAGCTTAACATTTGCCTTATCATTTGATAATTTTTGGCAAAGCTCTCTTTATTATTGTTTAAATGTGTACCAAATGGCACTGAATAGTCACAATGCATATCGATGACTTATATTTATGATGATTCCTCTGATGTAAAGCCATAATATTTAAAAAATATAGCATCTTAACATTGACCTTATCATTATGCTAATTAGCTTAACATTCCTTTATTTGATAATTTTGAACAAAATTCCCATTATTTTGTGTAAATGTGTACTAAATGTCACCATATAGTCACAAGACATATCAATGAGCTATATTTATGATGAATCTTCTGATGCAAAGCCATAATATTTAAAAAATGTAACATCTTAACATTGACCTTATCATTATGCTAATTAGCTTAACATTCACCTTATCATTTGATAATTTTGAACAAAATTCCCATTATTTTTGTGTAAATGTGTACTAAATGTCACCATATAGTCACAAGACATATCGATGAGCTATATTTATGATGAATCTTCTGATGCAAAGCCATAACATTTAAAAAATATAACATCTTAACATTGACCTTATCATTATGCTAAATAGGTTAACATTCACCTTATCATTTGATAATTTTGAGCAAAACTCTCTTTATTATCGTGTAAATGTGTACCAAATGGCACTAAATAGTCACAATGCATAATGATGACTTATATTGATAATGATTTTTCTGATGTAAAGCCAAAGTATACAAAAAAACGTGTTCCAAAGAATTTTGAACATTTCCAAACTTGTAATTTTCCGCATATATTAGCGAAATTAACAAAATTCTGCGGATTTTTAATTCTTTTTTTATAAAATAGCTTTTTTGGCAGACACAATTCCACTGTCCGCATAAAAAGGATTTTTGTCTTAGATGTATAAGGATTCCACTGTCCGCCGGTTTCAAGTTTGAGAGACATATAGGGGTGTCCGAATTTCGGAAACCCCTGTATCTCAATTCGAGAGACATATAGGGGTGTCCGAATTTCGGAAACCCCTGTATCTCAATTCGAGAGATATATAGGGGTGTCCGAATTTCGGAAACCCCTGTATCTCAATTCGAGAGACATATAGGGGTGTCCGAATTTCGGAAACCCGTATGTCTCAATGTTAGAGACATATAAGGGTGTCCGAATTTCGGAAACCCCTGTATCTCAATTCGAGAGACATATAGGGGTGTCCGAATTTCGGAAACCCGTATATCTCAATGTGAGAGACATATAAGGGTGTCCGAATTTCGGAAACCCCTGTATCTCAATGTGAGAGACATATAAGGGTGTCCGAATTTCGGAAACCCCTGTATCTCAATTCGAGAGACATATAGGGGTGTCCGAATTTCGGAAACCCGTGTATCTCAATGTGAGAGGCATATAAGGGTGTCCGAATTTCGGAAACCCCTGTATCTCAATGTGAGAGACATATAAGGGTGTCCGAATTTCGGAAACCCCTGTATCTCAATTCGAGAGACATATAGGGGTGTCCGAATTTCGGAAACCCGTATATCTCAATGTGAGAGGCATATAAGGGTGTCCGAATTTCGGAAACCCCTGTATCTCAATTCGAGAGACATTTAGGGGTGTCCGAGTTACGCAATGCACGGTATCTACAATTATTCGGGTTATATTCTCTACGCAAGTCGAATGGGCAATGGTCAAGTGAAACCAATTTAGAAGTATATTTTGTAAATTGCAAAGGAACATTCTGACAATTTAAAAAGTAAGTTGTCTTAATTAAATTTTCATTATGATATGTTTTCCCACGTAGAGCCGGGAATACCCAGCACACAATGAAGATGTATAATATATATTATATATATATATAGATTTATAGGTTCTAAAGTTCTTTCAACTTTCGCCTGGCCTCTCGTTCCTCCTCTTCTGTTTTTACCAGAATGAGGCAATTGCGCTCGATCGTGACTGCTGCAACACCGCCAGCTGCAAGAAAAAGATTTGACAAAGATGATAATTATAAAAGTTCATGATACTGTACCAGGTGGGAAACGTATATTATATATACATCATTCGAACAAAAGGGTGGCTTAATATTTTATATTTATGAGGTTAATGACATACCTTCGGGTAAATTAACATCTAATATCCAGTCACCCGAGTGACTGAACATTTCTACCAGCCGCAAACATGTCTCAAATTCTCTGTTTTGCCGAATTGACACAAATGAAGTTTGGGACCTTGCCAAACGCGAAGTTGAAGTGTTCTGGCAGAATTCGCCCAGATACCGAAGCATGGAGGACAACAAATGCTTCAACAGCCTCGTTCATGCCTGGTAATATATTCCCTACAGAGTGAAAAAGGACAACGATTAACCACTAGCTACAGTATTCTGCTACATGAATTGCGTACACAGTAACATTTTCTGCATTGTTTGGACAGAAGGAGGCCAGCCGCTCTGCTTGTGTTTGTCAACATAACAGGAAATTGCGAGTGGAATTATACACACTTCAAATTCAAATTAAAGCAAAATGAGTCAACTATAGTTCCCCGGCAGGAATCGAACCTACGCTTTTACGTGCATCGAAACCCCTAAATTTACGTGCATCTAGTGAAGTGCCCAAAATCACGCCTGATTGTGGATATATACTCCACAAACTGGAACAGTCATGCAGGAACACACACCACATGGTTGGCGGTTGCCTTAAAAATTACTAACTATCATCTGTTTATTTTTATTTTTTACGCCCCTTAATTTACAAAAACGTTCCAATAAGTTACTCATGACGTTCCCCTTTTTCCCACAAAAACCTAAATTTGTGTTTTCATCAGTGGGATTCACGCATTGCCTGTATGCATATCGCTTAAGCGCAAGGCTATAAAAGGCATTTATTAATTTATATATAGTACTTTATTGATATCAAAACAGTCTCGCCGGGACAAGGGTCTTGTATAATAAGGAGAGTGTTTATATACATTGATCACATACATCATACATTCAGCTGCATTCGAGATTAAAATTTTACTCGTATTCAATCCTTATAAATAATAATGACATGCCTACTTTTTCTCGGGCAAACAGGGATCATACGAAGCGCCATGCAATGAAACAAAATGAAAACGCAGCGCGAAAATGGAATTTCAGCGGTAACCAAATATAGATAACGACAGTGTCAAGCAATTTGATCACACATATATAACTATATATTATACATATGCATGCATAGCCTTTAAATAAGGCCTTTACATATGCTATATTTTTGTTCCTACTTATAGCTTTGCTCTTAAAAAGGAGGTTTCTTTCTTTCTACCTACTATAAATCCGAGAAGCCTAAAGCTAGCTAATATCAAAAAGGTTTCAAAATATCGAAACTTAATACATACCTTGAGAGGCTTATTATCCTCACTTTTCACGGCGGCAGCACTGATGATACTCGACGCCTGTCTTTGCTAGGGGCTTTCCAGCAACATATACATAAGCCTTTCCTTGCCTTACGCGAACCGACCACTTTTTCATTTGTGGCATATCTATATATAAAAACTCTCTCTCAAAACTACTGGCATTGACAATTGAAGCTCAATATGTTGAATGTGGGAAGAGCGCACATGCGAAGTATATCATATGAACATTACACCTGGTCAAAGCGGTAAACTCAACCAATAACAAAGAAAAGTTTTTTCCGTTGTCAGAGAGTTAATTGATGGGAATATCCTAATCCAATCAGTGGACTATTGTAAAATAAAAAAGGTTGTCAGGCAACAAGGAATCACCTTCGAGCTTCGGCACAATTTACTGATATATATGTATTGAATATGCTCAACAGCTAAACATTAATTATTGTTTATATATATTTTGCGAGAAGTGATCAAATTTGAGCACAATGTTGTCCTCACCAGATAAAGAAGATGACGATTCCTCTGTTTTCGAAATGGGGTTTTCAAGCTCACCTGAACCAATATCACCAGCATTGTCTTTAATGTCTTTGTTATCTACGAATCAGAAGCACCGGCGTCAGCCACCAGCAGCTCACCCGGTTTTGATATAAGATTTAGTGACAGTGAAAAATCATCTCCTCTCATACATTCAGAGGCAAAAAGTAAGAGCATCATGAATTAATAATGCCATATAATTATACATATATTTTTAATTTGTTTTTTCCCTATCTTATGTATGCAGTTTCAAACTCACTTGAGGCTTCTCCTTCATCAATCTCAACTAGTACAGATCTGCGCGAAGAATTTTCTTCACCATTTTCTGTTGGGTTAAGTAGCGACGCAAATGGATCCTTTCCTGATTCAAATTCTTCTGAACGTAAGTTCCTAATTATTACCAATCTTATATGAAACTAAGCTAAATAGAAAAGGCATTGGCGATTGCTAAAATTGGTTTCAGGTTTCAGAGCGATTTCTTATTTTGTGCTCTATTATGTGAAATAAGAATGCAAATTTTGTTATTTGATTTTAGATCTTTCGTGCAATCTTTTGCCTCACGATACGCCGTCAGCATATGTATTAAGTAGAAGCCCAAAAAAAGTCAAGAGAGCTTTACAATACGATTCAACCGATAGCAGTGGTAAGCGATAACTTTTTATGATATTTTGCAAGTTATTTTATTATATAAACACGCGATAATAATACTTCTGTATCCTGAGACACCATTCTGCAAATTTTCATATACTAAGCCGACTTTGCGTGCGCGCAACGATTAAAATATTTGGTCACTGAGGATTTACAGTTACATTATTCCCGGCACTTGTTTATGTGTCAAGCAATATGTTAGATTATAATTTTTTTCCCCAAGACCTGCAAGGCGTAAAGATTGTTAAATATATAAACCCATGAATTACAGGCTGTAAAAAAAACGCAATCACCAATATATTCATCAATATATTTAAGTGAATATTAAGCATTTTTTATGATTTTTGGCACTTCACTCGATGCAGGTAAATTCTAAAGGTTCGAATTAAGGGTCTTTATTTCGAGTGGAAATATACACACTTGAAATTCAAGCCACTGCGCATTGCACCGGCATCGCGATTCCTGCCGGAGAACTATAGATCCTCCGGCAGGAATAGTCAATAGTTGACTGATTTTTCCATCAACTGTTCCTGGCTTGAATTCGAAGTTTGTATAATTCCGCTCGAAATTAAGACCCTTTGAATCTTTAGTTTTTTTTATACAGACTGTATAACAACATATCATGTATATACCTATCTTCAAACAACAGCATCAAATGTGGTATAACAACTGCCTAAAATACCACATTTAATGCTAAGTTGTTTGAAGACGCTGCCGCGCTGCTCCCTCGTTATATTGGCACGCAACTTCATACAAGAATACTCATTTAATTGAATTAATTATTTTAAAGACACGTGGGGATAAATGGAACACCATACCCATGTAAATGAGAATGGATACTTTCGATTTTAGGATAAGGCGTTTTTCCATTACGGGCGAAGCGCGCTTAGATTTTTAAAGTAAAATAAAACGATTAGGGCTGTATATATCTAAGCACTGCTAATGTCAACTTGCAATTCGATGATGACATGCAGATTTTCCGCCAATACATAGCTACAAAGCTAAAATGTGTCACCAACAACAGCTAAGATTGATTGACGTCAAACATTGAGGCGCTGGCAAACCTGCGCCGGAAAAACACGTCATATTGAACACTATATGATTAAACCCAGAACTGGATACTTTATACATATAATGGGTGCGGATAAATGCATGTAGTTCAGGGACACCATGATAAACATAAAATCTTTAATTCAAATCAAAATGCCAAAATTCATTAAAATGGCAAAACGGATAATTTATACGCTATCAGTCGCGACAAACTAAACTTTTAGTAATATTTTAAAACTCTCAAAAAAATTTTCAATAGGACTAAGATATTTTCTTTGCGCATATTTCAGTAAAAAATTATTCCGAGGAATTAGCTCGAGAGAGGTACTACAAAATTATAGGGAGATACGTTATATGAGCCTTTGGACAAACCTACAACAAACACTCTATCTTACTGTTTAAGCTTACTGTAGGGTTTGATATCCAATTTTCCCTGCTTTGTCCTATAGATTTTAAAAGAAAATTCAATTTCAGAATGCTGGCTAGCAATATGCTATTCAAAAGTGTAACATGAATTTTGTTCTCTTAGATTTACGCTGGGCCATATCAACCACCTGCTGCCAGAGGAATCCGACATGATGACAACTATCTTCAGTCGCTTTGTCCTGGCGTGTTGGTTGCAGTGTATATTAGTAATTACAAAAAGAGACCGGTTATTGGTAATGTTTGTGAAGTTTTGAATTCAAGTTGCATTACTGGAAAGGTACATATACCGCGACCTGGCAACCCGTTATGGTTACGAGCAAATATGGTGAAATACCTTGGACAGACACTCTTCCAAGAGATTCAGTAATTCTCTGCTCGTTCTAACTTGACGATAACAACCATCTCCAAGAAAATACCAGAAAATATTTAAAACGGTGGTATCGGGAGGAAGCTAAAAGGGCTAGGGGTCTGGATTAATTTAAAAAAATATATTTTCTACGCTTGTACCTATAATTATACAGACGCAAGATGCTAAATTTTTAAGTGCAGAAGCATTGGAGAATATTACCCTCAATATCATTATCGCATGCTAACTAAAATGTATGCCAACATTCAAATGACTCATTTATCTTCAGGAATTATCACTGATATGAATAATAAACACTACCTAAGTATGGACTGCATTGTTAAGTGTTTTGAGTTTTTATAATAACCCATTAACCCATTGTAGATACAGTGCACTAGCTACGTTACTCGGACACCCCTATATGTCTCTCACATTGAGATATAGCTAGTGGTTTCCGAAATTCGGACACCCTTATACGTCTCTCACATTGAGATCAAGGGTTTCCGAAATTCGGACACCCTTATATGTCTCTCACATTGAGATATAGGGGTTTCCGAAATTCGGACACCCTTATATGTCTCTCGCATTGAGATATAGGGGTTTCCGAAATTCGGACACCCTTATATGTCTCTCACATAGAGATATAGGGGTTTCCAAAATTCGGACACCCTTATATGTCTCTCGAATTGAGATATAAGGGTTTCCGAAATTCGGACACCCTTATATGTCTCTCACATTGAGATATAGGGGTTTCCGAAATTCGGACACCCTTATATGTCTCTCGCATTGAGATATAGGGGTTTCCGAAATTCGGACACCCTTATATGTCTCTCGCATTGAGATATAAGGGTTTCCGAAATTCGGACACCCCTATATGTCTCTCGCATTGAGATATAGGGGTTTCCGAAATTCGGACACCCTTATATGTCTCTCACATTGAGATATATATAGGGTTTTCCGAATTTCGGACACCCTTATATGTCTCTCACATTGAGATATAAGGGTTTCCGAAATTCGGACACCCTTATATGTCTCTCACATTGAGATATAGGGGTTTCCGAAATTCGGACACCCTGTGTTTTGTAAAAATTCTACTGATAAGTATGTTTTTGGTAAGTATTAACTTTTCCTCAGATTTTCTCGCTTTTTATTGATTTTGGAGCCATAGTTGGTTCACTCCGCTAGTATTTTCGAAAAACAGTAAAAACGAGGCCATATTTTTCTTACTCCGCGAGAAATAGGCTTTTTCACCAACGAAATTTTAACATATATCCGCAAGAAAATGACTTTTATAATGAAACTCGCAGTGAAGTCCGCTGAATTTAGCAATTTAAAGATATTTTTGCGGAAAAAAATAAAAATTCCGCAGAATTTAGCAAAATTTGGCTAATTTTGGCGGAATTTTAAAGTTTGGAATATGACAAATTTCATTGGAAGGCGTTAAAAATATAGCATTTTAACATTGACCTTATCATTATATTTTGTTGTATAATGTTCACTCCCCCCTGGTAAATGGTTCTTTTGCAACAAATAGACTCCTTAAGTAGATAAGTTGAAAATAATGGGAAAATAAAAGTGGCATCTTAACATTCTACTTATCATGTAGTGTGGACGCGGACGGGAACGGGGACGGGGACGGGGACTAGGACGGGGACAGGGACGGGGACGCCAAGACTATAGCAATAGCTTTCTTGCATTAAAGTGCAGGCGAGCTAAAATGGAATTTTGGAAGCAGAATACCTGACATGCGTTGCACTATCATCATTAACCAACCTTTTCCTTTCAGAACAAATAACATACGAAGTGAATTTAACTTTTCCAATTTTGTCTTGCACAAGGCCTAGTTCTCAGCTCACAGATTGAGGAAACATTGAAGAATCTTTAAAAAACCACAATGTAAGACATCATAGAAAAATCGCGAGAAATAACATTGAATTTGGCTTACGACAAGTCGTATCTCCGATGCAATAGACGTCCGATAGCGATTGTCATAATGAGTTTTTATGCGGTTCACTAATATATTGAATATTCGTTCTGCAATTACATAATAGGAAAGGGAGAATAAAAAAATTATATTTTATATAAGACCAGTGTAAAATGAATGATAAATGGAACTGTACCGCAAAATAGGATATTACCCCTGAAAATAATGTTGCACAGAAGCAAGACATTAAATATCTCAGAAATATTTGGGCTAAAGACACCGGAATACCACTAAACAATAGCGGTTGAAACGATTATTTGAATAGTATATTCCAACCAGCATATAGTTATAACCTGCATTTGTATTATAAGTAAAAACAATAATAAAAATAATAGGTTGCTTTGTTATCTCAAATTACTCACCCATAGCAAGATATATTTTAGAAATTCCATATCTTTTCGCTTTTTTGGTACTCTGTTGTCTTCGAAATGTCCCAATTTTACATGTTATCAATCTGTTGTAATTCTGAGTAATTCTTGGGCTAGGATGTGCAAAAGAATTGAAGAAATAGCATTTCATAAGTGCTAAGCGATAATCGTTGGTAAGCACGTGCTTAAGACAAGCTCGAATCGGAACTAGGTCAGAATTTCTGCTTTTTGCCTGAATTTGTTTTCCATATTTTTATTATTGTGAAATATTATTGCCGCTGATGCGATAATTCATATCATCAGGTCCCGAATGTCGCGGTGCACAAAAACATCGAAAAAATCGTTGTCGCGCTTGCTCAAACGATTTTTTTATCGAAATAATGCTGCTACCCTCGAGATTTAACAGTTTTTTGGCATCCCGAATGTCGCGGTGCACAAAAACATCGAAAAAATCGTTGCCGCGCATGCGCAAACGATTTTTTATCGAAATAATGCTGCTACCCTCGAGACTTAACAGTTTTTGGGCATCCCGAATGTAGCGGTTCAAAAAAAATTCAAAAAAATCGCTGTCGCGCATGCGCAAACGATTTTTCATCGAAGTAATGCTGCTAGCCTCGTGAGTTAAAAGTTTTTGGGCATCCCGAATGTCGCAGTGCACAAAAACGTCAAAAAAATCGTTGTCGCGCAATGGCAAACGATTTTTCATTGAAATAATGCTGCTACCGTCGAGACTTAACAGTTTTTTGGCATCCCGAATGTCGCGGTGCACAAAAACATAAAAAAAATCGTTGCTGTGCATGCGCAAATGATTTTTCATGGAAATAATGCTGCTACCTTCACGATTTAACAGTTATTGGGCAACCCAATGTCGCGGTGCACAAAGACATCGGAAAAATCGTTGCCGCGCATGCACAAACAATTTTTCATCAAAATAATGCTTCTACCCTCGAGATTTAACAGTTTTTGGGCATCCCGAACGTCGCGGTGCACAAAAACATCGAAAAAATCGTTGCATGGCATGCGCAAACGAATTTTCATCGAAAAAATGCTGCTACCCTCGAGACATAACAGTTTTTTGGCATCCCGAATGTCGCGGTGCACAAAAACATTGAAAAAATTGTTGCCGCGCATTCGTAAACGAGTTTTCATTGAAATAATTCGGCTATCCTCTAGATTTAACAGTTTTTGAGCATCCCAAATGTCGCTGTGCACAAAAACATCGAAAAAATCGTTGCCGCGCATGCGCAAACGATTTTTCATCAAAATAATGCTGCTGTCCTAAAGATTTAACAGTTTTTGGGCATCCCAAATGTCGCGGTGCACAAAAACATCGATAAAATCGTTGCTGCGCATGCGCAAACAATTTTTCATCGAAATAATGCTTCTACTTTCGAGATTTAACAGTTTTGGGGCATTCCGAACGTCGCGGTGCACAAAAACATCGAAAAAATCGTTGCATGGCATGCGCAAACGAATTTTAATCGATATAATGCTGCTACCCTCGAGACTTAACAGTTTTTTGGCATCCCGAATGTCGCGGTGCACAAAAACATTGAAAAAATTGTTGCCGCGCGTTCGTAAACAAGTTTTCATTGAAATAATGCGGCTATCCTCTAGATTTAACAGTTTTTGGGCATCCCAAATGTCGCGGTGCACAAAAACATCGAAAAAATCGTTGCCGCGCATGCGCAAACGATTTTTCATCAAAATAATGCTGCTGTCCTAAAGATTTAACAGTTTTTGGGCATCCCAAATGTCGCGGTGCACAAAAACATCGATAAAATCGTTGCTGCGCATGCGCAAACAATTTTTCTTTGAAATAATGCTTCTACCCTCAAGATTTAACAGTTTTTGGGCATCCCGAACGTCGCGGTGCACAAAAACATCGAAAAAATCGTTGCATGGCATGCGCAAACGAATTTTCATCGAAATAATGCTGCTACCCTCGAGACTTAACAGTTTTTTGGCATCCCGAATGTCGCGGTGCACAAAAACATAAAAAAAAATCGTTCCTGTGCATGCGCAAACGATTTTTCATGGAAATAATGCTGCTACCTTCAAGATTTAACAGTTATTGGGCAACCCAATGTCGCGGTGCACAAACACATCGGAAAAATCGTTGCCGCTCATGCACAAACAATTTTTCATCGAAATAATGCTTCTACCCTCGAGATTTAACAGTTTTTGGGCATCCCGAACGTCGCGGTGCACAAAAACATCGAAAAAATTGTTGCCGCGCATGCGTAAACGAGTTTTCATCGAAATAATGCTTCTACTCTCGAGATTTAACAGTTTTTGGGCATCCCGAATGTTGCAGTGCACAAAAACATCGAAAAAATCGTTGCTTCGCATGCGCAAACGAATTTTCATCGAAATAATGCTGCTACCCTCGAGACATAACAGTTTTTTGGCATCCCGAATGTCGCGGTGCACAAAAACATTGAAAAAATTGTTGCCGCGCATTCGTAAACGAGTTTTCATTGAAATAATTCGGCTATCCTCTAGATTTAACAGTTTTTGGGCATCCCAAATGTCGTGGTGCACAAAAACATCGAAAAAATCGTTGCCGCGCATGCGCAAACGATTTTTCATCAAAAAAATGCTGCTGTCCTAAAGATTTAACAGTTTTTGGGCATTCCAAATGTCGCGGTGCACAAAAACATCGATAAAATCGTTGCTGAGCATGCGCAAAGAATTTTTTATCGAAATAATGCTTCTACCCTTGAGATTTAACAGTTTTTGGGCATCCCGAACGTCGCGGTGCACAAAAACATCGAAAAAGTCGTTGCATGGCATGCGCAAACGAATTTTCATCGAAATAATGCTGCTACCCTCGAGACATAACAGTTTTTTGGCATCCCGAATGTCGCGGTGCAAAAACATTGAAAAAATTGTTGCCGCGCATTCGTAAACGAGTTTTCATTGAAATAATTCGGCTATCCTCTAGATTTAACAGTTTTTGGGCATCCCAAATGTCGTGGTGCACAAAAACATCGAAAAAATCGTTGCCGCGCATGCGCAAACGATTTTTCATCAAAAAAATGCTGCTGTCCTAAAGATTTAACAGTTTTTGGGCATTCCAAATGTCGCGGTGCACAAAAACATCGATAA